TCATCCTACAAGTGGCAACTCACCTCTTATACAATTGTTTACACTTCTTTTTGAGCGTGTGTGATAGTCGTATGAGCAATAGTGAAATTGAATTTTAAGATATACTATGCTCAAACTTACGGTGGCACAAAGGTGACATGTGTGTGTGTGTTTATTTATATCGTGCGCACGAGATACTGTGTCGTGGCCACGGGTTACTAAGTCGTGGCCACGAGATAGTTAAGTCGTGAGAACGAGATACTATGTTGTGGCCACGAGTTACTAAGTCGTGGCCACGAGATAATTAAGTCGTGGGAACGAAATGACAAAGTCGTGGCCACGAGTTACTAAGTCGTGGCCACGAGATAAATAAGTCGTTGGAACAAGTTACCATGTCGTGACCACGAGAAAGTTTAGTCGTGGCCACGAAAAGTTAAGTCGTGCGAACGAGATAAATAACCAATCAAATTACACTATTTACATGAATTTTCCTAACAAGGATGCCCCTACTTCTCCTGTCCGTAAAAGTGCCATTTATACAAGTTATTGATTGGTCAAAGATTTAGCGTCATTGTGACCCTGATTTCTGACCAAATTGCCTAAAAATTATTAGGTGCCATCTACTGATCTTTTTAGGTTATATAAACTACGGCTTATTCTTTCTAAATCATTTATCAGACAAGGATTTTACATGACGTGTCATGTTTATCTGACCCGTGACCTCAAACATCCTTATGGGATATCTACTGTCCACGGGCAATGTCCCTACCCAATAAAATAAACCAGGACTAAGTCCCTCTCAAGTTATGGTATAAACAATGTGAACAGGCCGTTGTACGTACAAAATGACCAATTCTATCATAGAATTGTCCCAACAAAGGGCTATAACTTAGTCAAAATTATTGTCTGATTTCTGGGCCTTATGATCCTAAATACATGTATCAAGTTCAAAGTGAACACTTCAGTATTTTCAAAGATTAATGTTGCACGTAAATCTTTAAACAGAAATTTTCTAAGTTTTGAAAATCATGGTGTAATCTGATTTAATTATCTCGCCTGCACGACATAGTTATCTCGTTCCCACGACTTAAACGACTTAGTAACTCGTGGCCATGACTTAGTACAGTACAAACTTGATTTTTTTTTTCTGTAAAATAAAATAAATATAATTTGGCTTCACACAAATATTGTGCTTTAAATCCTTTACACTGTAAGTGGGCAGTATGAATATACATGTATAGTGTTATTACAAAAAAATATATGGAAGTTTCTTTTAAAGACAGACACAACTTTACTTTACCCGTAATAAGGAAAGCAGATTCCTATACATTATGTGTATGTGTTTTATTTAAAAAAAATATATTTATTACGAATTTTATAGATTTCAATAAATTTCTGTGATAAAAATATGTTACTGAAAGATGTGCATAGTATATCATTAAGCACAAATGTATGTGAATGTGGTGGTATGTGCGGGATGTCTGATCTATAATCAGACACACATTTGCCCAACATTTGAGCCGCGTCACGACAAAACCAACATAATGGGTTTGCGACCAGCATGGATACAGACCAGCCTGCGCGTCCGCACAGTCTGATCAGGATCCATGCTGTTCGCTTTCCAACTCTTTTACAAGTAGAGAAACTGATAGCAAACAGCATGGATCCTGATCAGACTGCGCGGACGCGAAGGCTGGTCTGGATCCATGCTGGTCGCAAACCCATTATGTTGGTTTTGTCGTGACGCGGCTCATTTGTACTTGACTATGCACATGTTACAAAAATAAACAACTTCTTTCCTTATTAAACATGTATATTTTAATGTGTTACATACCTATTCGCTACTATTAGTGACTCTGAGACATTCATTAAGTTAAAAGGCCAATAATTTTTGCTGCTTTTTAATGTCCAAGTCATTAGATAAAGACCTTCGCAGTACCTAGGCAGGTGCTTAACAACTGGATGACAGCATAATATGTTTTGGTAAGAAGACTATTGCATGAAACTGACACGTATATATTCCACCCCAGCTCATGAACGTATATTTGGGGGTAGGTGCAGCCCTTAAGCTAGGGCCTGAATCCGCCACTGTACGTGTACGTGTAACTGCCCCATTGAATAACTGTTTACGAGCATATTTTTTCTATTAGACTGTATACATATATAAAATTATATTGCATAATCCTTTACTACTTGTATTTATATTCTTTCAACTGCAATTTATGTATTAAGCGCTTAGTACGTATTTATATATGCATGTACGGAAAATTCCGATGATAGGCGAATCGTGGAAAAATTCCGTTGATATCGATAACAGAGTTCTCGCCCCTTAACAGTTCACAAATCGCTAGATATAGATTAAATTGTTTATCATAATGTAAGATGATCAAACATAATCCACAATGCCTCAGACACCGAGCTTTATTAAGCAATAATGGATATAAGCGAAAGCTAATAGTAAAAACGCCATGCGAGCTATAAATCAAATAAGTCACATTTTAACAAAATCCATCAGTGAACAAAAAATAGTCAACGGCTGCAAGCCAAAAAACTAAACCGTAAATGGTTTGTATAGAGCATGAACAAAGGTAGCTTATGCGTAAAGGTATATGACGTTAACATTTTAGTATTCCAAATGGCTTGTTCCAGTTTTTATAGTTATCACTCAATGAAAGAATTGGTCACTTAGAAATGTTTGAATGAAATAATGAAAAATGGAATCCAGCATAATGCAAAGTTTAACTATCATAAAGCAAGATGGAATCAAGCATAACGCAAGTTCTAATGTCATGTAGCAAGATAGAATTAAGCATAATGCAAGTTCCAATGTCATCAAGCAAGATGGAATCAAGCATAATGCAAGTTCCAATGTCATCAAGCAAGATGGAATTAAGCATAATGCAAGTTCCAATGTCATCAAGCAAGATGGAATCAAGCATAATGCAAGTTCCAATGTCATCAAGCAAGATGGAATTAAGCATAATGCAAGTTCCAATGTCATTAAGCAAGATAGAATAAATGCATTAATTCTGTTCCATACACTACAAACCAACATATTTTTTGATTTGGGTTAGCACAATTAAAAACTGAATCATTTTAGTTTAGAAGGACTAACTTTATCAAAGTTAATTCTTCTTTCAAGTAAACTTAAATTCAATGAATCTATGAAGCGAAAAGCACAGTATTACGGAATACCGTAAGGGCCATCGTGGTTGTACGTTATATTCCAGAGGGCGACAATGCGACAACACGATGGTGATAGTACGATGACTACAACGCGATAACACGAGGACGACAATGCTATAAACTAGCACATTATTGTCATCGTACTATCGCATTATCGCACTGTCGCATTGTCGTACTGTCGTCATCGCATTGTCGCCATTGCATTGTCGCGTTGTCATCATCGCACTATCGTACTATCGTCACTGTACTCTCGTACTATCGCCATCGCGTTGTCGCACTATCACATTGTTGCCCTCTGGATTATAATGTTCAACCACGATGGCCCTAACGGTATTCTGTACAGTATTATTGATAGCAAAGTTTTCTTTTATTATTTTGTTTTCTGACAAGGTCTAGCTGATCAACTAGCTAGCTGAACCAAAGTGTTTTTTAGCCACTTATGGCCTCCTGGGTCTAGTTCTGGCTTTCAAATATAATATGCCGTATTTTTATCTGAGGAGGCATTTTGTACAGTAAATGTACAGTAAACTAAAAATATGGAAACGTCGAATGTGTTTGACCAACCCGAATCCAGTGATAAATCTAATTCTCATATACATGGAGAGGACCAGATGAATAACCTTGATGAATAAAATTGGTGTGTAATTGTATTTTATGCATAATCAGTCATTTAAAGAAGAGTGTTTCTTTGTTTTTTAGTTTTGTGAATGGTATTAATACACTAAACGAAATCGATCATTCCGACAACCTTTTCTATGTACATGTATATATAGTGGTCAGAATAATTATGTATATATATACTTGTATAGAATAATTACAACGATTCTTGTATAAACACTTATCATAGTATCATCATTTTATATCAGTCAATACATTTTGTAATAATTCAATCTTAACAAGAAGCCAATAACTAATTTGGCATATATTTTGAAAACTCGAACTTATCTGCAAGTTTTAATCTTAGTACTTATAAGATTCATTAAGTATAGATTGTTTGATTGATGGAAGTTAGACTCGGTTCCCCCGTGAGCCTTGAAAGGAGTCACTTTTCTCACGTTGAGGGAGAGTGTTAATTTCTTATGGTAATCGCATCTAAATCTCAGTGAACAAAAAAACACAGACCGTCCAAATTGTATTGCCCGATTAGTGATGGATATGTATAACATCGCTAAATTACATTATTTAAGAAGAGTATTCAAGCAAACTTTAAAAACTTACATCATCTGACAAATCGCTGTCCGCCATGTTGCATCTCCTGGCTTAAAATGAGCGGCAATGCATCATCACAAATTACAAGTCATAACTTAGAAGTCACAAGTCATAACTCCCAAGTCAATAGTCAAAAGTCATTAAGTCAGAAGTCAAAAGGGCCCTCCAGTGCTTCCATAGTATACATACACTTAACGAAACTTATAAGTACTCCGATTTCAAACTTGCAGGAAAACTCCGGTTTTCAAAATATATACTAAACTTGAAGGTATTTGATTGTTTTTACAATGGTGATCTCAGTAACTGATTTTCTGTTAAGTTTGAGTTATTGTAAAATGCATTTACTATTATAAAATGATGATACTATGATTAAAGTTTATACAGTATCGACTTAGACTAGTTATAGTAATTCTAACACAATATAATAAAAAATTGGTCGGAGTACTTATAAGTTTCGTTAAGTGTATAAAAGTAAAACAAATTGATTGTCTGTATACATATAAAAGTAAACATATGAAATTACAAAGTCATTTACAAATGTCCGGCTCATATAAGGAGTTGGTTGATTTTTGAATTTCTATACACATTTTTATATAAGTTGTAAGAAAAATAATAGGACATCTTACTGTTACTATCGAGTCTGTTGTACAACACAACACGATTTATTCTGTACATTGCCCCTAAATCAACTTTCCACCATGGTCCTATTTCCCAGTCAGTGACGAAACATGAATTTGCATATTTGTCCTGGGTAGTATCGCCGTCGACGCCAAGGGGAGACCTAAATGTGAAAGCATCTCCCCAGGCTGTCCAAAGCGTCGACATGGATGTGGATTTATTCAATGCTACATTTGAAGTTCCTGTAATTTTATTGATATAATTAAAATGAATTGCAACAAAATATCGATGAGATACTACATTTTCAGAAAATTATGGAATGTATTATTTTTCTCATGAAAAGTAAAATTTAGGTTGAAATTGTGTACTACTTTTAACAGTGTGTATACACCTGAAATTCTTAAACCATGATCACAGACACCATATGGACCAAAATAATTAATTTGCATCTTCTGGTAATTGTAGATATTTTCTTATTGCTCTGGCTTCCTCAAGGTCATTGTTCTTTTATAATTATCAATAGGTAATACTTATTTATGTACATTTTTTGTATCTAATGAAACATTAAAACTTTCTATCAGTTTCATCACATCTACTTAATTAGCAACTTTTAAGATTTTTGTTGCCGATTGTCCTAATTTAAATGTGGTTTTATTTGTTTTATTAATGTGCCCCTGCTCCGGTCGATTCTAGCTCCCACGTTTTTGTCCCGTATTTATTCGGTGTTTTACCGCGAGGAAAGAACAAATGAAAAGCGGAAACAAAAATGGATGACCAAACTGGCAATTATTAGCTCCATAGAAATATTTCGCAAAGCATTAAGTCATTTGCATTCTAGATGATATTCATTTGTCTTCACCCTGCGGTAAGCCTTTGCCATCACATGGTGAAAAGGCGTTAACCACAACTTTTACGCGCAACGTCAAATTATCATACACCGTATCTTTCTTACAAAATAGATATCATGCCTGCATACAACAAGAAAACAGATGATAATTTACCCAAAACAAGGTAAAATAATCGAAGTTGTCATTCCACCGAATGTGTCATTTAACTTGAAGCTTAATAGTCTTTACTACATGCAAAATGCTTCACCATCTTAAGATAGTGAAAACAGTTCGGACATACTGTGAACAATATTGCTTTGATTGCAAAATATAAGGACTCTCTAGTCCGTTTAGTTCATATGGCATCGAAATGCAATATAACTATGTACATTATCGTCGTTTGAACAAGTTTCACCACTTTAATACCCGTTTTTGTATTTTCTGATCACAATGCTGACATTCAATATCTTCCCGACAATCCTAACCACAAAACGTAGTTCTCAAAACAGCTTAAACGTAGCGATGTAAAAGAAAGAAATATTTTTATTGCGTTACAAGTATCCAACGAATTATAACGCATTCAAAGTTTAAAAGTAGCTTTGGCTTATAAAATTGTCAATAAAAATGCACAATCACAAATTACGCGGATGAATATCATTTTAATCAATGATAAATAGATTTTCGGACTTTCACAATGTTAAGGTCATCACTCTATTTACAGCTTTCGGATACATGCACAACAATAACATGTCATGTACTACAAAATGATTAATAAAAAACCAGTAGAGCGCGATTAATTGACGGAAGATTATTTCATTTGAATATGTTTGCGAAATTCTCCAGTTCGCTATTCATTGTACTATCGCGAGATTTCATTTTTAATAATCAAACACCCCCCAATCGGAATGATCGGTTATTATGACCGACTAAAATACCCGAGAAGTTGTAATTGCCCTTTCACAAAATCTGATTTCATTCTATAAGAGGCGCCGCGCTTCGGCGCGGACGTCAAAAATTGTTTAGCTATTTCCGTAAAGCTTCGGATTATTGTGACGTGTTATTTAGACTGTCTGAAAAATAAAGTAAGGATGTTGACTCTAGGACAGGGACGAATTTAGGGCAATCGACGATCGAAAATCATTAGGGTCTTGTAAGTTAAGCACCCGATAATTCAATCCACGTAAACAAAACGCTGTTTTTTTAGCGATGCCGATAAATAAATCTGACTGTCGAGTAGTGAAATATTATATACATGTCTGACTGTCTGGGCGAGAAGATTTTCGCTAAATTATTTACATCAGTGAAGTGTTAAAAAGTGAACAAAATATTTCGAAATTAATAATGGAAATGCTAACTTTAGAACCATTTGATTTGCTTCCCATCTTTTCTTATAACTTCCCCGTGGTCCAGGGGTAACACGCTCGTTTCGGAAGTGAAAGGTCTGGGGTTCATTTCCCAGTAAAGGCAACTATTTTTTTCTATTTATTCTTTTAGTATCTTTTTAGCGATTTGAACAATTTTTCTTAAGGAATTAGCCACTTTATACAAGGATAAAGTGTGACTGTCATAAAAATGTACATAAATGATTTCATAAATGCCATGCAAAATTCCATATGTATCAAAGTCAAACTGCTTTAGCAAAAAATCTAAACGCGTTCGCTACAACTCGGTGCCCTGCAAGATGAATTATAATATATCAAAACAACTTCTACAGGAAAATACATACAGATATACAGTACGCAAAGATCAGAAAATATCACAGAGCTTGCAGCCCTTTGATTTCTATATTTTTTGACATGATTTTGATGTTTCTACGTGTGTACTTTAGGTACACCGCATTATTCGTCCTTATATCATCGCATTTTTCTGCTGTTTTTTTTCCAATAATGTCGATCAACGAGAGATATTTACATGTGGATTTATGCATTTGTAGAAATTTGAAAAAACATGTACATGTATATAAAAAATCAACTTACTAGTCTATTGAGACCATTGCACTTATCTAACTGGTATTTTGGACATTCGACCTTCAAGTCTTCCATAAAATAACATTTTATTAATAAAAGAGGAAGTGAACAGAAATTCCATCAAATAAAACATATTTGTCATGTGGTAGCAAAAACAAGTCGTCTTTAAAGCCCAGGTTTTTTTGTGACAAGTCATGTTGGGTCGACACAAAATTTTGAAAACACTATTTCTTCGAAATAATGATGTTTTGCGAATTGTGTTGTGCTATTTTAGCGATGAATTGTTTCAAAAATTCGATGGAATAATTAAAAAGTTGGAATAAGTTTGCAATGTATAGCAGTAAAATATTTTATAAGCAATTTCCTAAAATTTGATTAGCCTTCCATTACTATTTTGTCCAGAAAGAAACGGTGTATTGTGACGTTGCGCGCAATCGCAACTTTTCGGCCGTTTCTATAAGTCTTCGGATAAAGACATTATAGATAACAGCCGAGGACATTTCGATTGACGTTGCGCGGGAAAGTTATGTTAAATGCCTTATCACTGAGCCATACATGCTTCAAAGCATCAGACTGACAAACTTCAATTTGTCATATTCAAATCATAGACAGTTCAAAAATGTGAAGCTAGACAAGCCCATTTAAAAATTCAGTATGTTAAATGTCAAAGATTAACATATGGTTGCTTTTTTGTAATATATTACCTTCAGGTTCACATTGACGCAGGTAAACGTCTACATTCCAGCCTTGTGCATGCTCAATGCTACAAGAATCCAAGCAATTTGTGTACACCCAACATTCCATTGTGCCCGGCTCGTACAGGACAGCACAGCTTGTATTAGTTGTGAGACACCCAGACAGGCATGTCTGTACGTCGACCCCAGTATAATACGAGTCATAAGGGATAGATGAGTTAACCCTATAGCCCGATGACAAGGTAAAATCTTCACAAACTAAATATATATTCAGAGATTATATGGCAAATTTCAAAGCCAAATTAAAACTTTTTGCTACCAGTATTGAGTCAGGTCAGCCGTTCCTGCATGACCAGGCTCTATATTATTGATTTAAAACTCTGAAATCGTAAATCTATTAATGTCAAAATAACGTTTAAAGCATTACCTTATCACAAATACCAGGCATACAAGTTGCCGTCTAAATATTGAAACTATGTTATATGAATTGTACATCATGTTATCAAAAATACACAATGTATACAATTAAAGAAAACCCCGGGAAAAGCTGGTATTTGAGTCCCAAACATGTCTTTTAATAACCACACATGTCTTTTAATAATAATAATAATAATAATAATAATAATAATAATAATAATAATAATAATAATAATAATAATAATGATGATGATGATGATGACGATGACGATGATGATGATGATAATGATTATTATTACATTCAGATAACTAGTAAATTTGTACTTAAGATCTCTGAAACCTTATAAATTACAAAAAAATGTACTCAAATTATTTATGTTTTGAAAAAAAACCCACAAAGATTCATTATAAGCTGAAACTATTTCATGCAACCTTTAACAGCATACATTGCACATGTAGTTAAGCTCAGAATCAACAAATTCAACATATCTTGATGTATAATTTTAGTAAAAAATCCTTCGTCTATATTGTCTCATGTATGCAATTCTCAAAAGCTACAGTAAAATTATCAACTGTCATATCATACGTATGCGGCTTAGTAGATTAACATAAATAAATATAAATTTGTGTTAAAACATCTGTAGCGTATTACACGATAGTATAAATGAGCGGAAAATTTACCAGTATCACAGGTTTTCCTGTGAACAACGCTACCCTTTTTATACACCACTTGATCATCGCAACTGTTTTGGTAACACGTGCCCGTCAAAGATGTATATTCAACGCTCCAAACAACAGAATACAGAAGAAGTCTTTGCATACATTGTTCCTCTGTTAACAAAAAACCTGTACTTTCTATCATAACACAACTCCCAATCACTTCACAATTGTAACACGTTCTCACATCTGGACAGGCCGCACCAGAAAGAGCAAAGATTTCTAAAAACAAATGGATAGGGATTTTAATGTATGTAAGTGCACGAAGACATAGGAAAACGGCACAAAATACCTCTGTCGAATGCAAATGGGAATTTGAGGCAAAATGCTTACATCACCAGATGTCTAAATTTGCCATACCCATTTGTCTAATTTCCTATGCTTGTTTTTTGTTTGCTGATATACATAATTATATAAATAGAGGATATTGAATGAGTGTAAGTTCAATACTGAATTTATTGCACGAGTTGAATAAAATTATATTATGCGAGCCTCTGGCGAGCATAATATTATTTTATTCAACGAGTGCAATAAATTCAGTAATGAACTTACACGAATTTAATATTCTTTTTATCACATACCCAAAATAAAGACCGTTTAAAGAGAAATAAGAGTCATTTTTCATTGACGCGTCTATAATATAACGCTAACATTTATCGCGTCTTTACACTATGTTTGTATAACGCTAATGACGTCACGTCAAAATATATGCACGGCCGTGCAATACCATATTTACGGAGTCGCAAAATCGGCACGGGTGTGTGATAACTTGTTTTATTTAGTCTCCTTTTTGTGTCAAGTTTGTTTAAAGTTATCAAAAAATGTTTATCTAATAATGAATAATGTTTGAATGATTCAGTTACATGTAAAGTATAAGGAATATATCAGGAAAGTCATGTTATGAAGTCATATTTAAATACTTACCGAATAAAGCGCAAGACAGGAATAACTGGTACTTGAGCCTCATAATTATTATACTCTCAAAAATGAGAATAAATAACTTTCGCACTTTAAAAAAAAAAATTTAATACTTTATATTTATAAAAATATATTACAGGAAATGTATCCATATAATTAACAAAACGATTTACAACTGTTCAATGACAGCATAACTTTTGTTTCTGTCCGAGTAACATTATTATTTAAAATCAAACATTTGTCAATAATCAGCCGTTATTTAGCCCGATTGGCATGATGCCAATGACCTTGTTTGTTCAACCTACTAACGTTTTCGTGTTGTTAGGGTCATTTGGACTACAGCCGTTTTTAAAGCAAACATGGCCTGAAAGTACATTATTTTCAGTTACAAAAAAAAAGAAAAAAAAAAGAAACTAAAACCAACACTATTTTATTATTATAAGAGTACAAGTAGTAAACTTTGCTTGCACAAAGTTGAAAATAATTAATGCACGTTTATAACGTTGATTTTCATTGGATGATCGAGATGGTTATATGATCTATATACACACGGCCCCTGTATGAATTTGACTATTTAATTGAACTGAGCTGGTATCAAGGTTTTTTTGTTATATGATCGTGTTTAAAGGGTTTATTGCTACAAATAACCCTTGAAAGAGAATGTTAGCTCACTAAAAATTACATTTCAAAATTAACAGTCTGAAGATTTTAGATCTGCATATCTGACAATAAGATTGTTATAAAGCGCTATATTTTTCTCATTTAGAGGCCCTCGCTGACTTATGTTCAAAATTTAACAAAAAATTGCGAAGAGCTGAACTTGATGAAAATGTCATTGTTCATTAATAATATTATTTTTTCTCTGACATTTGAATGGTATTTTATAGATGTTCTTTAATTCTTGTTCTTCCTCGCCTATAGTTCTTGTTTTTCCTCTTATTTTTTTTACAACTATCTCTATCTCTATCATTATTATTATTATAATTATTATTATTATTATTATTATTATTATTATTATTATTATTATTATTATTATTATTATTATTATTATTATTTGAATGAAGGTTTCATTTGGACAGAATATGTTATTAGTTTTAATTTGGGCATCTGTGGTCGAGTGGTTCAGGTACTTGCCACTCACCGTTGTGGGTTCGTGACTGAAATAATGCACCTGAGGTCTTCTACCACCAGTAAAGTTGGAAAAACGCCATATGACCTATTTTGTTTTGGAGCGGCTTAGTATCCAAAAAAAAGTTTTTGTGACAAATAAAAACTCAGAGGGATCGATGAGCTTATCTGGGACATCATGGTCACTGTGACATATTAAAACTGTCAATTGTAGGCACGGACCTCATGCAGACAGGTAAATAAATGTTAAGTATAATGTTAATGTCAATCATGAGATGAAAACTTTGGATTAGATATGCAAATTTCATTAACAAAAGCCACTAAAGATAGAATGGTTTCACCAGTCGATATATTCAGGGTCTTTCAAATAGAAAGTATAGAGAATTTTTGAAAGACCCTGATACATTCTTTAAAAACCAACGACAACTACGTGCTCTTTCATCGTTCAATATTTATAAGCGAAAAATACAACATTTTCTTTAAAAATCTAATTGTTTGCATATACTCAATCAACTTTTACCGATATTGAATTAAGAAATTTTAAAGGGTAACTTTCCTTCTCCGTCGTTTAGCGTTAGATGACATGGATAGTTTCCGCGTACTTGCCAAAATATAGAATCAATTAATTAATCAATTAAATCATTCGCAAATATTAACTTTACTGTTGACCCTTCTCTTGTTTTCTTACGCTCCATTAGCAGCCAAGTGAATACACTACCGTGCAAAATGAACGATTGTGAAACATTGGACCGATGCGCATGAGAGGATCCAAGGATCCGTTTAAGCTTATTTAATTTAAAAAATACATCAAATGAACAAATAACTATATAAATTTGTTAATATTTCTACTTTACACAGATTTGATCTTTTTGATAAACTAGTTAGTCCTATACTTAATTATAGCAGCGAAGTCTGGGGTTTTATACATGGTAATGCAATTGAAAGAGTGCACATGCAATTTTGTAAACGTACGTTAGGTGTTAAAAAAACAACTCAGAATGATTTTATATATGGTGAACTCGGTAGAATATCTTTCAAGACAATACGATACTATAATATTATTAGATACTGGGTTAAAATATTACATACAAATGAGAATAAATTTGTCAACAAAGTTTATAATTTATTAAAAAATGATTGTGAAAATTACCTTAATAAAACAAATTGGTGTTCATTAGTGAAAAATCTTTTATGTACATTAGGTTTTTATGATGCTTGGTTAATGCAAAGTGTTGGTAATACTTACCTGTTTTTATTTTATGTGAAACAACGTTTGAAAGACCAATTTGTACAAAACTGGTCAAGTAGATTAGATAACTCTAGTAGAGCTATATTTTATAGACATATTTCTGTTTTTAAGTTTCAACCATATCTAAATATTATCAATGTTGAACGGTTTTGTAAAGATCTCACTAGGCTAAGAGTATCATCACATAGATTGCATATAGAAGCAGGTAGATGGACTAAACCAAATAGTACTCCTTTAAATGATAGAAAATGTTTTTCATGTAATGTCTTAGAAGACGAATACCATTTCATATTAGAATGCAAAGTATATAATGATTTAAGAAAAAGTCTGATACCGCCTTATTACTGGAGACGTCCAAATATGCCAAAATTCATTGAATTATTAAATTCTGAAAATGTATGCACATTACGTAAATTAGGAAAATTTGTAAACAATGCTTTTACACTAAGAAAAGAAAGATTATACACAAATAATTAGTAGTCATTATTGTTAAGTTGATTATATTTATTTTGTTTTGAATAAGTGAAATTTTAGTGAAATGGATAATTATGTCAAAAATATATATGTAAATGCATAGTTAAATTATTATGCTTAATAATTTTGAATTAGTGAATGCTTTAGTTTAGAAGATATACATGTCAAGGATATATATTTGTAAATGTATAGCTAAATGATTCTTAAGATTGTGCGTCCTTTTTAAATCGAACCACTCTCTATAGCTAAATTTACTGACTAATAGTTATGTTGTTCTTGTGTTTTGTTTCGGCAAGAACAACATACACGTACTCGAACAAGTATAAATATAATTTCATATTATACAGTATATACATCCGAGTTTTTGTCAAAATTCATTTAATTTTGTTTTTAAATTGATTCACGTTCTATATCTAAATTTACCGACAAATGGTTATGTTTGTTCTTGTATTTTGATTCGACAAGAACAGCATATACATACTCAAGCAAATATGAATATAAATTTATATGATGCATTATATTATATACATGTATCTTATCAAATTAACTCAAAACAATGTATGAAATTCACTTCTCTGTAAGTTTTGCTAGACAGTGGTAATTTATTTAACATTAGATAAATTTGAATGTCCTTTTGTTATGATGTTCATTTTAATTGATGATATACAATTTTGTGTATACCTTCTCCATTTACACATGTTATTGTATGTATATGCTTTACACTGTCTTGCCATGTATCATGTATCTGTTTATCCTCATGGACCATTTGGTCCAATGGAATATTGAAATAAACTTATCAAACTTATCAAACTTATCATCAAGACATAAGCAATTATAATGTGAAAATCATTTTCAATTGTTGTCTAAAAATTTATTACCCTACCAATGGACAATTTCAAGATAATTTAGATTACATATCAGAGAACATTTATACATGTTATACAATGTAATGTAACCTGAAACAGTAGCATAAGCATCAGTTATTACTTCTTCATATAATGTAACAAACACTTCTCAAGTGTTAAGCTGCATTTATGTTATTCCGTCATAATGCGTATGGTCAGATAAAAATCTTTTTGAGTGTGAGACACGTGTGTTCCTTTAATAACCAATATACAAAAGTATAAATCAATCAATGCAGACAAAAGAATTCTCAGAATTGGGCACTATAAATATTTAAGTTTTTTAGACAGACTGTTTACATTATGAATTTGTATTTCGATTTTTACAAATATTAATAATCTATTACGTATGTAGATATTTCCTGTAGATACTATTTTTTCATTAAACACACATGTTTGTAAGACGCTGGGTCTTATTGATTCCATTGTAAATGATTGGCGTCCGCGCCGAAGCGCGACGCCCTTTTGAAATGAGAAAGGGCGACAGGAACTTCTCCCGAGGTGTTCCGATTGTTATCGGCCTTGAGTCATACTATTTAAGCGCAGGAAATTCCTTCTTAATCACCCAAATGCTCCTTCAAACAACGAGCACTATCAGAATGTACCATAATACACACAATATATATGCTGATTCTACAAACGTGGGGTTTAATGAGGATGCACTTGAACATTTTAAGGGGCCGGAGTGGTGGTCTAATGGTAAAGGTGTCTACCTCTTAACCCAGGGATCGTGGGTTCGAACCCTACTTAGGTCACGACCATGTTTCTTCATATGACACCAGTACTGGTTCGTTCCAGGAAGTGGACTTAATAGCGATACTAATATAAATTACATGGACTTGTTTCGCAATCGAGATCAAATTAATAATAGTATGTTTTAAAGAGTTTGTTTGTTTGTTTTGTTTGTTTATCTCATTTTACGCCTTTTCCCAATGTTACTTGTTCAGTATTTCAGTCATATAGGCGGGTAGTTTCCTAACCATCGTTCCTGGAGAGTTACACCACTACTAGACTACCTTCCTCCGTGCTAAACTAACAAAGCATCTCCCGGGGATCGAACCCACGCCAGAGAGGTAACTGGATAAGAAGTCATCGACGACAACGGAGGCGGTACTAATACATGTATAAATTGCAAGGACTTGTTTCGCAATCGAGATCAAATTAATAATATTATGTTTTAAAGAGAATGAATGAAAATAAGTTTGTCAAATGATGTCAAAGTAAAGATCAAGAGTGAGCACGTGTTACACTGGTTAACAAATCAACGAGGAGTAGCGACTTCAGTCCTAATGTGTTCAACTGAAGTTTGTCGTAAAGTTAAAGATCCTGTATGCCCTAATTAAGGCTGTATACCACACTTAAGTGAAATAAT